TGAAAGGTAGAGATGGACTATGTAAATTATATTTTCCTCTTATTTTTTATCAGATTTTCTTTTTATTTTATTGTTGAAATTTAAATATAGAATAAAAATACTATTTTAATTACTAACCTAACATTTAAAAAAATAATACCTTTTATTTTTAATTATAAAATAATTTTAAGATATTAATCGTTTCAAAATATAAGTCAATTTTAATAAAATAAAATTAATCCCCTAAAAAAATTGACTGAAAAATTAAATTTAAATGGCAGAGGAAAATTATTGGTCGAGCCATAATTCCATGGAGGGATTTTATCGTTTCAGAGCTGTGCCCGAGCTAAAGGCTCGAGCTTTGGAACTCAGTGGGGAAGATTAACCTTCGTCAATGGAAGCTACTATCAGTCGCTCACCTCCGTGTTTGCCTCGCCGGAGTCCATTACTCAGCCGAAAGTCTCCTCCCTTTAAGACAACCATTTTCTGTTCTTCTCACTCGTCTTTTAAGGTTACTCCCTCTCTTCTTCAAAAAAAGAAAAAATAGTAAACCTATTACTATTTCCCAGCATTTATCCAGAACCAAAGAGCGGTTAATGATTGTTGTGTGTATGTGAAAGAGAGAGGTTAGTAATTTTTCTATGTTTGAAACGCAGTTCAAGAGGCAGTATACCAGTGTTATGATAGTGCCAACGGGGAGGGGATAGGAGCTGCTATTGTGGATTCGCCGGCGACGCTTTGCCGGTTGCGCGTGCTCTCTCCAACGTTGTTGACTGCCTTATCACTCACCCTAACGTATCTCGCTTCCCTATCTGATAAACCCAATGAATTGATATTTACTAATTTGCATTGCTCATTTTCGTACTGTGTTAGTTTTTCCCCCTCTCAGTTGATTCATATTATTTGGTAAATTCATTTGTCATTGAGGCAGATTTTTCTGGTTTAACATATAAGTTATTCTAATTTGAGACTCGAGCTCATGATTTCAAGGGAATGCTTGTCAAAAATTGAGGCTTGAGCCCATAATGTGAAACAAATGCAAGCGAAACATTGTCATTGTTGTCATTATCGTTGATTCTGCGGCTGCGTCTTTTGTAGTTCCCCCCCCCCATGTTTTGTATTCTGATTGTATTGGTAGTTTTGGAAATTAATGTTCTTGTATGTCTTGTTATCTGTCCTATTTCACATGCATTATTGTAGTTTGCTATGAATTATCAAATTACAGGTTCTTAATGCTGCAATGCTCTACTGGCCCTTGCCTAATACATTATATGTTGAAGGTTATGCTCTGGACCGCTTTGCAGAAGGATTATGGGCCTTACAGCCTGTTCACCAAAACAGGGTATGTCTCTATGGTTGTCTTGTATGCTGTAGCCTTGATTAGCTTGTGTCATGTGGGGTTGAAATTTAACCGGTGATTTTTCCTCATGCCATTTCCTTTCACTACATATGAATTATATTTTGGATTATTATTCATTGTTCTTTTGTATCAGGTGGGGTTAGTTCTTGATGCTGGAATTGAGAAGGAGCTTCAGATTCGCCAGTTGCAAGTAGCTGATGCTGCAAGGGCTTCCCTTGGATTGAATGTTGTGGAATATATTGTCACTGACACTCCACTCAAGGTATCCAGCACCCTAGTATCTTGATTTGCTTAATGATGTGTAAACTATCCAGCATAAGTTCCATACTCAAAGTGACATTTAGGCGTTTAAATTTCAAATATGGCAGCTATTGCTCTCTTGAGAGGGAATATAGAAGCTGTATAAAGTATGTGCTCCTCAATGAAAATGAATGGCTGTGTTGGTGGTGCTGAATATTCTTGTTGCGTCCAGTGTTATCAAATTTTTGCATAATGCCATATGTATGGGGACCCTATATAAATTTACTTCATATGCAACTGCTGCACAGCTTTCTGGCTGTATCCTTCAAATCTGTTCAGACAAAAGATCAGATGCACACCAAGCCTCTTGGATTGGTGTAAGCAATACTCTGGACATGACTTGAGGCATATTATCCATGTCTCTAAGTTGAACGTGCATTAAAAAATTTCTTAAATGTACTATGTTAATCTATGAAGCATGGATACTTCAAAAAAGTAAACGTATCTGTGTCCGATATGATACTTGTAGGATACTTTAGCATACGTATCCCACATTCTAACATTTGTATAACATGATTATTTTTCAACAATTTTTTACTACATCACTTCAAAATTTGAAAAAACACTTAATAGTTTAATTGATTATTATAAATATCCTTGTATTACTTTAGAAATTCTCGTTTAAAAAGAAAATACCAATATCTATGTCATAAAATGTTAAAATATATATTATAAATGTCCTCGTACTTGTATCCTAAAGTTTTGAAAATTTTCTATATTGCCATATCATGCCGGATCGTATCGGATGCTCGTCCCCGTATCTAAGCAACCTAATGTTAATGTTGGACTAAGGAACTTCATCAGACATGTCTATTCTTCCTACTCTTGGCATGATGATTTCTCAGTAGTTCAAGTTGCCCTAGCATGTCTAGTTCTTCTTGTGAGCAATCCATCCAATATGAATGCAAGATTTTTGCCTGGATCAAATTTTACAGGTAGAGAAGTGGGTTGATCCAGAAAGTGGACAATCAACAGGGAGGATTAAACACCCCGATTCTTTACTTAGAGCTGTAGAAACTTTAGCAAACCGGTCGCAAGTAAATGCCATTGCTGTTGTTGGACGCTTTCCAGATGATGATATTGAAGAGGTAGATGACTATCGGCAAGGAATGGTATGGCAATAATCATTAGTTCATTATGGACCTAGAAATACACTGATGGGAGTGAATGTAATTTAATCAGTTTTGCAAGCTATATTGGACTAAAAGAAATGTTGGATGCTGCTTGGCTGCTTCTCTTTCTTTTTGTTAATCCTTGTTTCCCCTTCTTTCATTGTGAAAATACTCACAGTCATGGTTTCTTTCCTCATTTTGATCTTTTCAGGGAATAGACAATTTGGCAGGTGTTGAGGCAGTTATTAGCCATCTGGTTGTTAGGACTTTCCAAATTCCTTGTGCACATGCTCCTGCACTATCTCCTTTTTCCCTTAGCCCATCTCTATGCCCAAAATCAGCTGCCGAGGAGGTTGGGCCTAACCTCTTAGCTTCTTTTGTCTTATTCACACTAAATAAAGAAGGCCTAATGCAGAGAGATGGATAGAGAGTGAACAATTAAGCTGCCAGTTTGGCTTCCAGACTGAAGTTAGTGAGAAATAAGATGTTGGTATTAAACACTCACATTCCACTATCTTTGGCATTAACTGTAAACAGACTAGGCAGCATGCTGATATGAAATAATATGCAGTGCATGATAAAGCTAAGAAAAGTTGACTGAAGTATGGGCACATCAATTTAGGATTGTCTAAAAGTTATGATAAAAATATAGTGTTATTGTCAAATGTTGATTACCTTATTAATTGATTAAAATTTTTTATTAGTTCACAAGCTTTTTCATTATAAATTTTTCTAAGAGTGACTTTTGATTATACATTTGATTTTCATTTTCCTCTGCATTTGCTTGGATAACAGTACTTGTGATTTGTTCTGAGTTATAAATGACTTGCTCTTGTTAGATAGCTAGGTTATACGTTCCTACCATGTGTGCTTGCTGGCTTAAGCAATGCTCCACAATACTTGGTGAAGAACTCTGATTCTATGGAGAGATGCTGCATACTGGCAAGTGATGTGGATTCTGTTATCCTTCCTAAAGATGCATGTGGAGGGGAAGGAGCTCTTGCTTTTGCAAGAAGTAGAAAAAAATAAGGTACAAATCCGAACATGAATTTTTAACTCGTATATTTTCTGATTTGAATATGCAATGACAATTTTCCTTTATGGTATTTTGGCTTCTTCCTACCAGCACACCATACTACCTCCAGATATTGAACTGCAAGCAATTCCTATGATGCTAGTGTCCCTTCTAATCCTATTGTTTGTAATATTCATGCAGCCTCTTATAATCACTGTGGAAGAAAATGAAACTGTTCTGAATGATACCCCAGATAAACTTGGCTTTGAAGCGGTAAGCAATCCATTTTCTTTGAATTTAGATTTCTCTGGTTAGGAGATGAGATAGGAACTTGAGGTATTAAAACGAAAGTTGATGGTTCAGATACTTTTCAGTGACCATTACCATTTTAATCAAGTCCTGCGAAGCTGAATTACAAATTTCCTATATATGATTTGAGATAGATAATTTTACCTCTCCAAAGAGCTGGAACATTTTTTATTTGTAGCAGGAAGTTACAGAACCTATAATGTTCAGAAATATCAGGCAAATATCAATATTCTTGAGTTTCAGGATTAGCTGGATCGTTATATTCTTGGTTGTGTAATGAATGAGTAGATACTGCACATTTTGTCCCGACTATTGAGATGAAGATCTGGTTCATTTAGGACCTCATCTTGGCCTAATCTCAACTATTGAGATGAGAAGATACTGGACAATTGTTGTGACAGTATGTTGTTTCAAATTTTGTTCCTCTGACTCTGATGTTAATGTGTCTTTGAAGTGGGAGAGAGTGAGACAGAATGAGAGTTTACATAGAGTTCACTTCTTTTCTCTCTCTCCACTGCCTCTTTTCTATCTATCCCTCTTATTTCGGAATCACTTCACAGACAAACAACATTTAGAGGGTCTAAATCTGTCTTTTATCAAATTAATTTTTTTTCTTCAGACGATTTTGAGCAAAAAATATGTATTCTTAGTAGTGGGTCTTAATGATCTATTCCATTTGTATCAGACTATCCAAGAAATCTTATGTTGTCAAATGCACTTTTAATGCCAACAATCTGCTCTCAGTAAGAGGGTGGAAAATGAAAAAGTATATAAGAATATTTGAAGACAAAAAGTGAAGATAGACAGATACACAAGTAAATGAAGAAACAGAAGCTCTCACATTGAAGTAGAAATCATTATCTGAACTCTTGGACTCTTGGTTGCATTAATTAACGTCTTGTATTTAAGTAAAAGTAGTTTGGTTAATGAAGTTACGTTTGCTGCAGCTTCAGGTCTCAAACTATTGGGAAGCCATCGGAGTAATTGCAGCTCACAAGGCAGGGGTCGATCCATTCTCTCTGAGAAGAGATCAAATTTCTAATATCCGCTGCAAATCTGTACCTGTCAATGGTTACTCTCTTTCGAGAGACAGAACTCTTCCCTGATTAAACCCGTTGGAGTTTAATTGATATCTATATTCTTTTTTTCTATTCATGATTTTTGTTTCCCTCATTCCATAGTATGTATGTGAGAAAAGAAATATCGTTGTTCAAGGATCATGTTCATTGCCATACATATATAATATAAAACGTATTATTTGAGTTATGAATAATATATTTTTTTTTTCAAATTCAATACTTTACATGTATGGTCAACTTAGTTATTTTAAACAAAATTTGATATATCATTTAGATTACTTAGGTTTTTTTTTTTTTTAATGATGGTCAAATTCCTGGCCTGACTAGGCGGCCAATTAGACCAAAATTAGGTTAGATAATTTTTTTTAATGAAGAAATTCAAGGTTTTGAAAAATCATGTCTTACTAGTTGTTTAACTTTTTTGGCGTAGAAGTAGTTGGTTTTTGTTCTTTTCGTCAAGTTAAAAAAAAAAAAAATTCATTCTTGTCGAGACTTGCGATTTACGAAGTAGAAGTCGGAAACTGAGTTCAAAAAGGTGGAAATGGAAACAAAATGACATAGAAGTTGAAATTCGAGAATTACGAGTTACGACTGCTTGAAGCTAATTAGTCAGACTGGAATGATTTTCTTTATTTCAGTTTTGGTCATTTTTCAAAACGCATGCTTTGACTTTTACTTCTGTTTTTTTTTTTAAATTAACGCGCTTGCTGATTGCTTTTTTGTTTAAAGTACTAAAAATGAGATCGATTGTTGATCAATTAAAATAATAAATTAAGAGTTAGTAGTTTAAATGCGGGATTAACTTAGAATCATACCAGTCTTAATTAAAATAATTTAATTTAATTTATATACATTAAATTATTCATATTTGAATATAAAAATGAATATTTAAATAACAAATTATTAGTTATTCTCAAATAATCCAACAAAAATTCAATAAAGAGAGAAAAATTTTATACATAGTAGTAGAATCCTAACAAAAATTCAACAAACTCAATAAATTTTTAATAAAAAGTTAAATAATTTTGCTCAAATAACTTAACAAAAACTTAAATAAAGAGAAACGGTTTCTATCACAACTAATATTTGAAAGATTATTCTGCAATCTATTTTTAACAAATCTCTTACATAATCTTCTCATAACTACTAAATTTATCTAATATATTATTAAAATAAATTTATTGCAACAGACCAAGTTGACCAAGTCACCATCAAATTGACACATCAAGTTATAACTGAATTGATCAAGTCCCACGGGTTAGTTGGGTTAGCACTACCCTAAGTTAGGTTATAAACCAGGTTGGCCAATTAGCTAATTCAATGAGGAGAAACACTTGGGTAGATCGGATGTATCATGATATTTGTGGTTTTTTCAATAAAAATATGACATTTAATTAGCATTAAATATAAATTAATTCTAATATTAATGATAGTAGAGAGCGAAAATGTTAGAAATCAAATATGTATGTTGTTATAAAAATAAAATTAATTTTAAAAATGTCATACAAGATTCTATTTAGATTACTTAAAGTATTTTAATTGGACAGACCATAAATAATATAGTGTACCTGATGTATCTAAATATTTTTTGTTCAAAGAGTTACCGGTTTTCTATTCATTATCTCCCCCCCCCCCAAAAAAAAATGTTGAATGCTTCCATGGCGTCTGAGAATTTAAATATTATTTCAAAATAAAAAAAAAAAGAGGTGTTTAGCAGTGTGTAGATAGAAAGGTCGCCATATTGTTGCAATTTTATCCAAATTGTGATTAATTGTAGCGTAATTAGATTTATGTCAATTAATTAATACATGTAAATGGACCATTGATATGAGATTTCTCATTTCTTGCTCGATCAGTGCATGCTTGTTTTCCCCACAAGTGTCGCGAAAACCACGTTTTGACCCCTTTTTTTTTTTTTTGAGGCTTCTATCATATCAGAGCTCACCAAACTCACTTGCCACTCATTAATTCTTATGAGTTGTGAACACACGGGTGGAGACTGGAAAACCAACAACCTTTCCTAACTTTTAAATTTTTTTTTAGTAAAATATAAGAATTATATATTTTTTACATCTTAAGTTGGCATGTTAAAAAATTTTTAAGATATTAAATGAAATTTTCATTTCAATTTTATCATAGTCTTTTACAAGCCTGAAGATATAGTTGTCATAAGATCTATTTATTTTAAAAAAGATAATGTTAAAATTGCTCTTAAAGCATTAATACCATTTGATTTTGCTTTTATTTTATCTTTGATAAAATAAATTATAAAAATTATTATCAACAAACTTTATTAAATATTGCACCAAAAATCTCAAAATATATTGAATGTGATGTATATTATAGAATATTTTTACTATGATATACTTAAATATCATCGATATAAAAAATTTATAATAGTTTAGCATCATTATAGTATTAATATATTTATTTACTACAATTATCTATTGAAAGAACTAAATAGTGTTAGCAAAAAAAAGAAAGAAAGAATTAAATAGTAAATTCAATAAGTAAGTAATAGAGTTTTTTTTAGATTGTTTTAGAACTTAAGGATACATTTAAATTATTTAATGTTCATGGAAAAGATAAAATCTTCACCAACTTAATAATAGTTTATATTAATAAAGAAATTACAAAAAATTTTATTGTAGAGATGATTTATTCTTATATCATAAAATATTGATGGGCAAATCTTAAAAAATGAATGTGAACACCGTATCTTGTCCGGATATTTTCTTTTAATAATCAAAAAATAGAAATACAAAAATGAGATTTAATCCTTTTTAGGATTATATTTTCAAAAAAAATAAATAATTAATAGGGTTTAATTTTATTTTAACTTAGATAATCTTTTATTAGTTAGGATCTTATTTCTTTTAGTCCATTCAAAAATAACCAAAAATATATATAAAAATATAAAATAAAATTTAATCCTTTTAGGATTATAATTTTCAAAAAATAATAATTTAACAAAAAAAGAGGTTAAATCTTGAAAAATATTGAGAATCAACTTTTGAGGATTAAATGTTTTTAAATTTATCTCCTTAAATCTAATGTTTTTATTTGAAATATGTATTTTAAAATTAGATCTTTTCCCTCTCCCATAATCTGCTTGACAAAAAAAAAAGAGGAGCATTATGACAAGTGAAAGAACACGAACACACAGAATACACATGCAAGTATACTTTCGGCCATGACAGAAGAAGCAGAAATAAGAACACGCAAGATTAGATAAAAATAAAGGTAGACATGACAGAAGCAGAGAAAGAAAGCAGAATGAGCACACACGGTCAAGCACCAGAGGGCAAAGTCAGAGGTAGCAAAGAAAGACAACAGCAGGAACACTCACGCAAAAAAAAACAAGAAGACGAGAGAAGCGCTGGAAAAGGAAAAAGGCTCAGACGCATAGAAGAAGAGCTAGAGACGCAAAACCAGACATGCACGTTACAGAAAATAGAAAAAGTGCACGCAAACACAAAGGGAGACAGAGCAGCGAGCACACATAAAGACAGTAGCAGAAAAAAAAGCAACATGCAGTCATGCATGCACGGAAAAGATGTGAGAGAAACAGAGCAGAGAAAGAGCAGCAGAAAAGGAGAGAAAGAGGTAGCCGAGAGGGAA